GCCTGTCGAGGTAGCTGTTGACTCTCGTCCTGCTGGGGGTACTGAGCCTGCCCGTGAGGAGTCTGGGGGTGCGGAGCCTGGGGGTGCGGAGCCTGGAGGTGCTGAGCCTGGGAGTGCGGAGTCTGGAGGTGCTGCGTCTGGGGGTGCTGCGTCTGGAGGTGCTGAGCCTGGGGGTGCTGAGCCTGACCGTGCTGAGTCTGGGGGTGCGGAGCCTGGGGGTGCGGAGTCTCGAGGTGCTGAGCCTGGGGGTGCTACGTCTGGGGGTGCTGTGTCTGGAGGTGCTGATCCTGAGCGTGCTACACCTGGAGGAGCCCTCTCCTCCCAGCAGCTGCAGGAGAGGTACCTACAGTACTGCCGCCTCCGGAGAGGTGCTACTGGAGCTCGTACCAGTACTTCCCCTCCTACCCAGGAGCTCCCCCCCATTCAGCAGATCCGAGAGTGGTACGCGCGGCGCTGCAGTCTTCGGAGTGGTGCTCCTGGTGCTGCGGACCCCAGCGGTGGCGCTGCTGCTGGTGCTGAGGACCCGGGCGTTGGAGCTACTGCTGGAGCTGAGGACCCGGACGGTGGAGCTGCTGCTGGTGCTGAGGACCCGAGCGGTCGAGCTGCTGCTGGTGCTGAGGACCCGGGCGTTGGAGCTCCTGCTGGTGCTGAGGACCCGGACGGTGGAGCTGCTGCTGGTGCTGAGGACCCGAGCGGTCGAGCTGCTGCTGGTGCTGAGGACCTGGACGGTGGAGCTGCTGCTGGTGCTGAGGACCCTGCCGCTGGTGTCGCTGCTGGTTCTAGAGACGCTGCGCGGCCGCGACCGTACTTCGTACCACTTCTTCAGCAGGTTCTTGGTCAGGCTCCTCCTCCTTGTCCTCCTCCCTCCGTAGAGTGTCCTCCGCCTGTCCAGTCGCAGTCACAGTTCCCGCCTGCCTCGCCTCTCCCTGCTCCCTCTCCTTATACTGGTCCCACAGGAGGTCTTACAGAGCGTCGTGAGCCTGAGTCTCGTCCTGCGTCGCCTGTTCGTACTGCTCGCACTGGTCGTCGTGTCCCACGTGAGCGTCCTCCTTCTGTCCCTGGCACTCACTACATGACTCTGCGTCCCTCCACTGCTCCTCAGCGTGTCCCGCTGCCGTCTCCTCCTGCGTCCTCTCTGCCTACTCTTCCTGATCCGGAGTCTGACTCCCGTCGTGCTGCCAGTCCCACTGTCACCCGTCTCCTCGCTACTGTTGTCACTGACCCTACCTTTGAGTCCTCTGCTGCGTCTGCTCTGGTCGCTGAGTTGATCGACTTTGCTGCCCGGTGTCGTCTAGACTACGCCACTAGCCTTGTTGCTGAGTCTGAGTCTGAGTCTGTCTGTCCTCCGTCCGTCGGGGGTGAGTGTGCTCTTGGCACGGACGTCCTTGAGGACAGACAGGAGGAGTTCCAGTGCTTTGCTGCTGCTTTACCCCACCTCGTGTCCATGCTAGTTGCCCCTGAGGGAGACCCGGATGCACCAGACATCCCGACCCCGCGCACTTACGCTGAGGCGATGGCGGGTCCCTACTCCTCTCAGTGGCAGACAGCCATGGACGCAGAGATGGCTTCCTGGAAGTCCACACGCACCTACGTCGACGAGGTTCCCCCACCTGGGGCGAACATCGTCAGTGGCATGTGGATTTTCAGGGTGAAGCGGCCGCCGGGTTCTCCTCCTGTCTTCAAGGCGCGCTACGTGGCTCGAGGCTTCAGTCAGCGAGAGGGAGTTGACTTCTTTCAGACCTTCTCCCCCACCCCGAAGATGACCACTCTTCGGGTGCTGCTGCACATAGCCGCTCAGCGCGACTACGAGCTTCACTCACTTGATTTCAGCACTGCTTTCTTGCAGGGCAGCCTGCACGAGGAGATCTGGCTGCGCCGCCCTCCTGGCTTCACTGGGTCGGTTCCTCCTGGTACCCAGTGGAGGCTTCAGCGGCCGGTCTACGGTCTCCGCCAGGCACCGCGTGAGTGGCACGACACACTGAGGACGACACTTGCGGCTCTTGGGTTCGCTCCCTCTACTGCTGACCCGTCACTGTTTCTACGCACAGACACCTCACTGCCGCCGTTCTACATCCTCGTGTATGTCGACGACTTGGTCTTTGCCACTGCTGACACCGCGGCACTCGCCCACGTGAAGTCGGAGCTGCAGAGGAGACACACGTGCACAGACCTGGGTGAACTGACAAGCTATCTTGGCTTGCGGATCACCCGGGACAGAGCACGGCGCACCATCACCTTGACTCAGTCACACATGGTGCAGCAGATCCTTCAGCGCTTCCGCTTCACGTACTCCTCGCCTCAGTCCACTCCTCTGCCTACCGGTCACTCGCTCTCAGCTCTGCCTTCGAATGAGTCCGTAGAGCCGAGTGGCCCGTATCCAGAGCTTGTGGGCTGCCTCATGTACCTGATGACCTGCACTCGACCTGACCTTGCATACCCTCTTAGCATCCTTGCGCGCTATGTCGCTCCTGGCCGTCACAGGAAGGAGCACATGGATGCCGCTAAGAGGGTGTTGTGCTACTTGTGCAGTACGTCGGGCATGGGGCTAGTGCTTGGAGGGCGAGACCGAGTTGTACTTACTGGACACTCAGACGCTTCTTGGGCAGACGACCAGGCTACTCAGCGGTCGTCTCAGGGTTACACCTTCAGCCTTGGCTCCGGCTCAGTTTCTTGGCGTTCTACACGCTCTTCTTCTGTTCTCAGCTCCAGTTGTGAGGCTGAGATCTACGCCACAGCCATGGCTGCCCAGGAGCTACGCTGGCTGACCTACCTGCTGACCGACTTGGGAGAGCGGCCTCGTTCTCCTCCAGTGCTGTACGTCGACAACCAGGCTGCCATTGCCTTGTGTGAGGAGCACAGACTGGAGCACAGAACGAAGCACATCGCCCTGCGGTACTTCCTTGCTCGAGAGCTGCAGCAGCGTGGTCAGCTTCGTCTGCGTTACGTGGCCACTGAGGCCAACCTTGCTGATGTGTTCACCAAGGCACTTCAGCCTTGTGACCATCAGCGTTTCTGTACTCTTCTAGGCCTTGTGCCTGCTGGACCTCACTTACTTACTTCTTGACTCTGCTTGTACTGTGATCTTTATATATATGCCTGCATGTTTACACTTGCTAGGTTGTGATCACTGTATCTCTTGTTATATTATCATCCTGCATGTGAACTGGTCTTGTGACCACTTGCTTGTGCTCGGAATTTGTGTGGTATCCTTGAGATCCACCCTGAGCTTGTTTTGCTTTGCTTTGACTGGTCTTGTGACCCCTTGCTCTCCCCCACTTTGCCTATGGGGGTGTGTCAAACATTATATGTGTTGTGCTTGTTTAGGCTACAGTGGGTTAGCCTATAAGGGGTACACAATTCTAGGGTTAGGTACTTGTACTCATTTCACTGCTAGTTCATTCATTCCTGTCCGTTCATTCTGACACCAACTCCATCCTTCAACCTCATCGGCTACGTGGACGCCGATCACGCAGCAGATCCTGATAATCGACGGTCCAGGACTGGCTTCCTGTTCCGACTCGAGCCAACGGGACCAATCTCCTGGAATTCGCAGAAGCAGGAGCTGGTTGCCCTGTCATCAGCCGAAGCGGAATTCATCGCAGCAACTGCAGCAGTTCGCGAAGGCCTCTACCTGCAGGAACTCCTGCAAGAGGCGAAAATTCCAGCTTCGCCCACATTCCGCCTTCACTGCGACAACCAGAGCGCGATTCGCATCGCGAACAAGCCTGGTTTCGTCAACCGCACCAAGCACATTGCGCTGCGGTATTTCTTCGTGAAGGACGAGGTGGACAAGGGCAAGGTCAACTTGACTTACTGCCCGACGGGAGACATGGCAGCGGACTTCCTCACGAAGCGACTGCCACGCCAGCAGTATCAGCACTGTTCCGAACTCAGCGGCGTGGTCAAGCAGGTCAAGTCGAGCTACGGCCAGGAGTGAAGGGGGGTGTTACGAATAGTAATATTTGATACCGTAAACGCCCGGATATAAGACAGTGTTGAATAGTAGACAGGGGTTGTCTACTATACGGGTGTCTCTTATAAACAGGCTAGCCTCATTATAAGACACCTATTTGTGTGTACGAGATAAGACATATATGTCTTATAATCGAAACTTCAATATATTATAGCGAAAGTTGAAATAACGCGTACATTTTTACCCTTGCGAAGCGCGAATTTCTCCACGCGCTGACCCAGGACCTACCAAATTTGCCTCTGCAGGTGTTCTCCATGACGTGGCGTCCCGGGCAGTGGTTGCCGAAGTGGCACCTTCGCAACATCCACACTCATTATGAGGAACTCTTTTTCAAGGAGTACGGAAAATATTTATAAGTAGTTTAAAAAGTTTCCATTTATAAGATTTATAAGACACCCTAAAGCATCCCGTTTACAAGATAACTCAAGCATTTTTGCCCGTGTACGAGATAAGACATATATGTCTTATATCCGGGCGATGACGGTATTACTGTGCACTCCTCACCGCAGCAAAGAGAAGCACGCAGTATCGGGAATGAACGCGAAGCGTCAGACAGTTGGAATTGAACCGAAGAGTCAGACGGTTACAGCACATCTGGACCGCAGAAGCAGACGGCATCGGGCAGCTACAGGCAGGATGGTTTTGGCGGGAACAGTTACGAAACTGTACGCGCCGCACGGTTGGGGGTGAAATAAGGGAATGTACCCCTTAGAGTACATAGCTAGTTAGGTCGTTTCGTATTCCCTGTACTCTTATTTATATCGATGTATTTGCATGTTTTTATCATCTCAAAGCATTTTACATTCACTCTGCTATTGAGGTCAAGGGCCCACCAACACTACCTTACTGCGTGCGAACCTTCCTGAGTAGATCCTGGGCTACGATCAACTTCTGATCGCAGCAATCTTTCCAATCTATTATCCACTCTCTCGAATCGTTCATATTCAGGAGTCCATATTGGTAGATGCTATAAAAGCTGACCAAAACATGAATTGAGATTCGTTAGCACGTTGATTTACATGACAAGTCATGCCGTGCGACCAGAACCAAAGGAGCTATACTCAATTCCTTGAAGTCCTGTATTGGCAGTTTCTTCATCCATGCTCTTAATCACTTGCAACTCCTCAGCCAAATCATTAGGAAAAGACGTCCCCGTCCGCAACTCCTGTGCTAGCGCATCCACCTTGATCGCTGCACCCAGCTTCTCCTTCCCCACCACCTCGTGCCTGATTCCCTGCAGCTCATTGGCAACGCCTGTCATGTTGGGCCGGCCTGCAGTGCGTTCCACAATGCAGCGCAGAGCCAGCTGCGCCAGGCGCAGCACAGCATCATCTGGAGCATCCATGCCCACATCCTTAAGGGAGGCCAGGTCACCGGAGGAGATTTGATCCTCCACCTGATAGAACGAGGTGTGGGAGGTGGGGATGGGAAGAAGAAGATTGGGGCTGAGAGTTAGCTGGGCCAGGCGCAGCACAGCATCATCCGGGGCGTCCATGCCGAGGCCTTTGAGGCCGGCCAGGTTGCCAGATGGGATTTGATCCTCCATCAGATGAATTTAACGAGGAGATTGGGAATGGGGACGAGAAGTGGCGCAGCACAGCATCATCAGGTCAGGTCCTCGAGTGAGGACAGGCTGCCAGATGAGATTTGATCCCTCCACCTGATGGGGTGGACAAGGGGTGGGTGGGGATGGGTGCGGGTTTAGGGAGTGGCACATCACAGCATCATCTGGGGCGTCGATGCCGAGGTCTTTGAGGGAGGCCAGGATGCTGGAGGAGATGTTATCCTCCACCTGATGGGGTGAACAGGGTGGGTGGGGATGGGGTTAGGGAGTGGCGCAGCACAGCATCATCCGGGTGCGTCCATGCTCAGGTCATAGGGGGAAGTCAGGTTGCCGGAGGAGATTTGATCCTCCACCTGATGGGGTGAATAGGGTGGGTGGGGATGGGGAGAGGAAATGCCACTGTCAGCATGAAACACCCTGAGGGTGGTTCCATGTTAATTAGATACATCCTTGAAGCCGCCAGGGTTGTTGGAGGAGGCGCATGTCTCCACATGAAGGATTGAACAAACCAGAGGCTGCACACATGCATGGCATCATTAGGGGCGGTGATGCCGACTGTTGAGTCGACTCAAAAGGCTGCATGCATGCATAGCATCATTAGGGGCGGTGATGCCCTTGAGGGGATCAGGGGTGGGAGGCGAGATACACTGCTCCACCTAACTGGTAGAACAAGGAGGGTAGGGATGAGGACATGCGTAAGTAGCTGTGCCAGATGGAAAGGGTTATTCTTGATTTTAACCAGTCGTACTTGCCACTGTGGCGTCTGACACAGTTGCAATGCAGCAACTCCTGTGCATTGCAGGGCCTACCATGTGCAACATGTGGCATTTTGTCACACCGTGTGCAGAGCAATCTGATTTTGTAGACAACTTAGAGAGATTGCGTGTGTCGCACCCAAAGCTGCAGCGCTCACCCATCGCAGAATGTGACCCTTCTTGTCACCATCGGCAGAGCGGGGGCTGCGACCGGTGATCACCACAAGCATGAGCACACCGAAGCTGCACACACAGAGAAGGAACGGCGACACATAAAAAGGGGGAGAGGAAAGGGGGGTTCGGTGAGGGATCGACTTGGTGGTATCCAGGGTGGTGCTGTGCACTGTTCATCATTTGTTGAGCGGGGATGTGCGGCCGGTGAGCATCACAACCATCAGCACACTGAAGGTGCACACACAGCGAAGGGAGGGCAACACAAAAAATGGGGAGGAAGGGGAAATGTGAGGGATTGACAGTATCAAGGGTTGTGATGTGCACTGCTAATCATGTGTTAAGCGGGGGCTGCAACCAGTAAGCGAGCATGAGCACATTGAAGCTGCACACATGGAGGGGAACTTATCCAGACCAGCACACAGTGATGCCACGTTGTGAGTGCTCTCTCTCTCGGCCTTATACAGTGAGATTCACCCACTGAGGGCCGCAGGCAAGAGTATACCGAAGCTGCACAGACATTAGGGGAAGGATTAGAGCAGCAGACCGGTGTGCATCACACATGACTGCACACCAGCAGGGGAGGAGGGAGGGGAAGACTGACACAATGAGGGGTGGTTGTGGTTGCATGCTCATTCTACTGTGAGTTTAGTGCAGGTTGGCTAGGCAAAGTGCACGAGCATCAGCAACCCGAAGTTGCAGAGAGATGGATGTTTGGGAGAGATATCGAGAGCATCACACAGCACACAGGGATGCCACACTGGTGGTTGTCTCGCACTGACAGACAGGACAGGACTGTGACGCCAAGAATCGATTAGTTGGATCGGCTGGAATCTAAACCAGGAAGGGCCGTGTTTACAAGTTTACCTTTAGTCTATGATTTCACTAGCCCCTATACATGTTGCAAACAGAACCTTTGAAACTTAAGTCTAGAGAATGCAGTACAAATGGTCAAAAGAGATATGTGAGAAGCAAACCATGTGTGTGGAGTTTTTATTTTTGTTTTGTTTCGCTTTGTTTTGGATTTTTTTTCCTGCGTCGGGTGGTTGGGTATTTCACAGCTTTCACCTTGATGCTTCAGTTGCTGCAATTGTCAGGTTTCCAACTTAAAACGAGGGTCTAGATTTGCCAGCGGGAGTTTCAGAATTTTTTTTTTTCTGAACCAGGCTTGCCAGCATGAAAGTGTTGGCAAGCGGAAACCTGGATTTCGTGGGGTCACTTTTCTTCCGCAGCAGCTCGCCAGAGTTTAGGGTTTCGGGTGGCATATGTGCACCGTCCTTTAACCTAGACGTTTTCTGAGGCGCCCAAAAAGCAGCTTACCTGTACACATCGGTGGCAGTGGTGGCCTTTCACCTGTACACATCGGTGGCAGTGGTGGCCTTGGACGTGCGTGAGTAGATGGGATCCACATAGCCCGGTGTTCCCATCACCCGCGTCGTGCCCACAGTGGTGCCCTCGCCCATTTTCAACAGCCCAAAATCAGCAATCTTGGCCTGTTGGATGGTATGATAGTTGAATTTTGGACAGTATGTGAGATAGGAGAGAGAATGGACAAGGACTTGTAAATGTTTTCAGCTGGACACTTTTGAAGGAGAGAATAAATTATGTGCGAGCAATTTTGAAATCACTGAGTAATGCGGTCACGTTGGGGTGATCCATGGGGACACATCATTGGCAAGGATGCATGGGGGATTTGTCTGCTGCGTTGCTGCACCAACATGCCATGCCAAGGCACATTGGCAATGCCTGCCGCTGTTTAACAACTGGTATCAGATCAGAGCCCGAGATGTTGTGGTCCACATTCCTATAGCGCCTCGGGGGAAAAAAAAAAACAACACAAACAAAAAAAGATGTGTACCTATAGCGGGTTTAGAATCCTGTTGTGGTTCAAATCCCTATTGTGGTATCCCTAGGCTTGCCTGCATTTTATCCCCGAGCAGGATGTTGGCGGGTTTGATGTCGCGATGCACAAGGCCAAAGCTGTGGAGGTACTCAAAGCCACGTGCCGCACCAATGAGGATGTCCAGCTGCTGCTGGAAGGTGAGAGTGAAGGACGCCTCTGCATACATGCAGAAAATAAGAGAGTGACAGGATATGAGGGAGACAAATGAGGATGTCCAGCCGCTGCTGAAAGGTGAGAGTGAAGGACGCCTGTGCACACATGGATGGAACGAGAGACACAAGAAAGTAACATAAGAGAACATGAGATGAGAGGAGGACGACTCTGCACACATGCACACAAGAAGAGAGTGACAGGATACGAGAGAGAGAAATGCGGATGTCCAGGTGCTGCTGGAAGGTGAGAGTGAAGGCCACCTCGCACACATGTGCAGAACAAGAGTGAGAGACAGAAGATGAGGCACACTGTAGGAGCGACATAACAGGGGTAGTGAGTCAGCATGTGCAATATTCTCTTCATAAGAAAGGTGGAGACGAAGCGAAAACAGTTATAGGTATATTCTTAGTATAATCTTCAAGGGTGGTGACGCTTGAGGTGGGTTCAATGAGAGGCATGTGGAGGTGGCACATAGTAAACCAGACAAGGTCGTTGGTGGAAACTAACTTACGCTTTTCAATAAACTGGTTACTGGTCAAGGTCACTATTGGGAATAAACTCGTAGATCAAGATCTGCTCCGGCCGTGTCTTCATGTCCCTCTTCTTACGTACCCTTCTTAAAAAACTGGTCAAGGTCACCGTTGGGAATAAACTCGTAGATTAGGATCTGCTCCGGCCGAGTCTTCATGTCCCCTCCAACAGCAAACCCAAGCAGCCGAACGATGTTGGGATGGTTCTTGTCGGCCATTTGTTGCACCTGCAAGGAAAATGGCAGAAAGAAGCGTCAATGGCATGGTTCTTGCATGGCACCCTGGAGTGGAAAAGGCAAGCCATGGCAAAAAGAAAGTTAGATGTATCAAAAGGCATGCCATGCATCGAGGGCCAAAGTCAAAGTGAATAAAAGAACAGGCGCTTCAAAAAAAGAAAAAAAAAAGCCACTGTGGTACTTCACCTGTCACTGCAAATCCACGTCATTCAGTTTGGCCCCTTTCTAAAAAAGACTCAAAATTCACTCTCACCTCTTTTTGGAAATCCACGTCGATCAGTTTGGCTCTCTTCACGGCCCACAGGGTTACACCATCGTGGGGACACACTCCCTTGTACACTTCGCCAAAGGCACCCGCACCAAGCAGGTTCTCAGAGTTCCAATTCTTGGTGGCTTTAAGGACGTCTTCAAGAGAGTACTCCGTGCATTGAGCGCCTGTCATGCTGGGAGCTCGGCCTGTAGAGGATCGGATGGAATGGAAGGGGTGTGGAGTGGTGGCGAGGGGTGCAAGACAACCCAACCAAGCAGGTTCTCAGAGTTCCAGTGCTTGGTGGCTTTAAGGACTTCTTCAAGAGAGTACTCTGTGCATTGAGCGCCTGTCATGCTGGGAGCTCGGCCTGTAAAGGTTTGGATGGAATGGAAGGGGTGTAAAGTGGTGGTGCGGGGTGCAAGGCACTGAGTCAAGAGGTTCTCAGAGTTCCAGTGCTTGGTGGCTTTAAGGACGTCTTCAAGAGAGTACCCCGTGCATTGAGGACCTGTCATGCTGGCAGCCCGGCCTGTTAAGGATTGGACGGAAGGGGTGCAGAGCAGTGGTGAGAGGTGTAAGACAACCCAACCAAGCTGGTTCTCAGAGTTCCAACTTTTGGTGGCTTTAAGGACGTCTTCAAGAGAATGCTCTGTGCATTGAGGGCCTGTCATGCTCGCAGGCTGGCCTGTAAATGGAAGGGGTGAGGAGTGGTGGCGTGGGTCGGGTGCAATGCACCAGATTAGAGTTGGTATTGCCAGGCCAGTTGCTGGTGACCTTAGAGGAATTTCTCACGGGAGTAATCCTCCTCTTCCGTACAGTGAAGAGGAGTTTTTTAAGCGCCTCAGAAGGCTTTCAAGGAACTTTCTCACGGGAGTAATCCTCCTCTTCCGTGCCATGAGGGGAGTTTTCTATGTGCCCCAAAAGGCGTTGAGGACTTTCTGAACAAAACTCCTCCGTACAATGAGAGGCAGCCACGCTGCCTGCTCGACCTGTGCTGCACCTGCACTGCACTACACTGCACTGCACTGCACTGCACTGCACTGCACTGCACTGCACTGCACTGCACTGCACCTGTACTGCACTGCACTGCACTGCACTGCACTGCACCTGTACTGCACTGCACTGCACTGCACTGCACCTGTACTGCACTGCACCTGCACAGCACCGTCTCTTACACATACTTGCTGCACGTGCTGACAGTCTCGTGTGGCCTCTCCACCGCCAGAGCACACCAATCAGCACCACCAGAAGCAGAATCCCCACAGCCACAGCAATGCCGGCAATGGCTCCCACAGACAGCCCCCCTCCAGACTGGGAGGCAGTGGCTTCAGACGAGAGAGGAGGCGTTGCAGAGGAGGAAGGGGTTGCAGATGCAGAAGGGGATGCCGGAGCTGCAGAGAGGAAGTGGAGCATTTGACGGGTGGAGAGCGGTGTGATGGAGAGAAATAGCATGTGTTGCACAGGAAGCATGGCGGCGCATAGCAAAATGGTGAGGTTGCGGTTTGTGATTGATCAGATTGGATGGGAAGTATGCTAGAGATGTGGCACTGACAGAAGGTATAGTAAGTTCATGTAGGTAGCTCAGCAATTTAGCAGGGGTGTGAAGTTTGTATAACAGCCGTATTGCTCATGCTTCCTCCTGTGTTGGCATTCGGGCTCGATGAACAGAGAAGAACGCGGGCAATATAGACAGGGCCACTGAGTGGTGAAACACTAGTACACAGAAATCGATGTTTGAGGCAAATAAACGGAGGTTCGATACCTTTTTTTGTGCTTTTTGTATATTCTCTTGGCTCACGTGGTGGTGTTGTTGCAGGTGGAGCAGAAGGAAGGGCACTGGGTGCAGAAAGCGCTTTTGGCATTCTGTTGAACCACACAAGGACTGCCGTCAGGCGGGCATGTGGACTCCGTTCCATTCAGATTCCTGCACGTGCGAACGGGAGGAAGGATCTTTGGGCGGGTGAAGCAAAGAAGCACATCCAGTGGAGCAATAAGATTTGCACTGGGTGCAGAAAGCGCCATTGACATTCTGCTGAACTACACAACAAGGGCTGCTGTCAGGAGGGCATGTGGACTCCGTTCCATTCAGATTCCTGCACGTGCGGAAGAAAGAGTTGAATCGGATTTCTGAACGAGGCGAATCTCAATGCACAGGCAAAAAGGTTGGTTCTGGGTCTGGTAAGTAGACCATGGCGAAGTGTATTCTGTGGTGCTTCTTGGAAGCACTAGCAGATGGAATCTGCATGCATCAGTCAGTTTAGGAAAAAAAGAAGATGGTAAAATTGTTGGAAGCGTGCGAAACTACGAGGAGTTGCGTGAATCATTTGCAGCACATCCGGGAAACAAAGGAAACGATTAACCAGGAAGGCTTGGATGAAGAAACTTACAATTGCTCAAGTTTAGAGAGTTTTCCCAGCGTTGGAGGGATCTGTCCAGTCATATTCGTGTCTGCAAGTTCACTGCATGGGGGAAGCAATGTTGAATATGCATAGTAGAATGCATCCCTTGTTGCACATAAGTCAGAGAGTGGAAACAATTTTGCAATGCTATATATACGAACGTAGTTGCGAATGTGTAGAGCAGATCAAAGCATTGTATAGCGAACATTCCCAAATACAGAAAGAAGTTTGAGCAGCTCAGCAACACATACCACTGGTCAATCCCAAGCAGAAAGAATGTCGTGCGAAGAAGGACAACAGGAGAAGGTTTGACACCTCAGTAAAAATTATGGGACTCATAGACAATCAATGCAAGGCACTCTGACATTGATGTGGGTCAGCTCAGAAACTGTGCTCATAAAGTAGTGAGTGAGATGAGATGCATGAGGCTGTTGCCGCGCTGACAACATCGCAAAGTCACGAGTTGCCAGTGGACTCAGAAATGCTGCACCTTCGTTTGAGTCGACTCAAAAGCAGACTGCACACGAGTTACCAGCGCACTCTCGGATGCTGCACCTTCAATGACATGGCTCCAGCCGAACCACTAACCGTGACTCTGAATCAACGTCGCGCTCTCAAGATTGCTACTCTCTCAACTCAACACGGTGACGATGGCCGTGTGTACGTACAGGATTGACTTTTGAGTCGACTCAAAAGTCACCTCGTTACAATGGCACACGACTCAACTCCACACAGTGGCGATGGCATTGTGTGTACGTACAGGATTAAGAGCTTTGTGAGGTTGCCGATGGACTCTGGGATGACCCCAGTCAGGCTGGCAAGATCAACCTCATGCTTACAGAACTGCGACTTTCAACACAACACGGTGGCGATGGCTTTTTGTATACGAACAGGATTGAGAGCTTCGTGAGGTTGCCGATGGACTCTGGGATGCTGCCAGTCAGGCTGCTGCCAGAAAGGTACCTGATGATGTGGGTGGGGATAGCAACGGGAAATTCCTGAGTAGTTCACTAAGGGAGCTGATGAAAAAAACTCCTTTAGAAAAAAGCGCTGTCACAAACGACTCTTGACAGATTACCGATGGACTCTGGGATGCTGCCAGTCAGGCTGCTGCCAGAAAGGTACCTGATGATATGGGGATATCAGCGGGAAATTACTTTTGAGGCGCCTAAAAATACAGTCAGGCTTCTGCCAGAGAGGTACCTAATGGTGTGGGGATCGCAGCGGGAAATTCCTGATAAGTTGTTAAGAAGCTGAGGAAGGAAACTCCTTTCGAGATAAAATGCTGCGAGAAACATACCTGGATCTTGGTTTCTGTGACTTGTTCAGCACTAAAGAACAACGTATGAATTGAATAAAAAATGATTCCAACAAAATACAGTATGGTTCATTATTTCTGAAAACTCAACCAAGTCAAGTCAAGAAAAGTTTAACATAACTTGACACGGTATGTTCATGTCTTCACTAAAAAATTATCAACTGAAGTCAACATGCGTTTAAAAAGCTTACAACGGAAGAGTTCCATCGTCTGTCTAGTCAAAAAGCTTACAAGGGAAGAGTTCCATCGTCTGCTTAGTCAAAAAGCTTACAAGGGAAGAGTTCCATCGTCTGTCTAGTCAAAAAGCTTATAAGGGAAGAGTTCCATCGTCTGTCTAGTCAAAAAGCTTACAAGGGAAGAGTTCCATCGTCTGTCTAGTCAAAAAGCTTACAAGGGAAGAGTTCCATCGTCTATCTAGTCAAAACGCTTACAAGGGAAGAGTTCCATCGTCTGTCTCGTCAAAAAGCTTACAAGGGAAGAGTTCCATCGTCTGTCTCGTCAAAAAGCTTACAAAGGAAGAGTTCCATCGTCTGTCTAGTCAAAAAGCTTACAAGGGAAGAGTTCCATCGTCTGTCTAGTCAAAAAGCTTACAAGGGAAGAGTTCCATCGTCTGTCTAGTCAAAAAGCTTACAAGGGAACGTCTGTCTAGTCAAAAAGCTTACAAGGGAAGAGTTCCATCGTCCGCCTAGTCAAAAAGCTTACAAGGGAAGAGTTCCATCGTCTGTCTAGTCAAGAAGCTTACAAGGGAAGAGTTCCATCGTCTGTCTAGTCAAGAAGCTTACAAGGGAAGAGTTCCATCGTCTGTCTAGTCAAGAAGCTTACAAGGGAAGAGTTCCATCGTCTGTCTAGTCAAAAAGCTTACAAGGGAAGAGTTCCATCGTCTGTCTAGTCAAAAAGCTTACAAGGGAAGAGTTCCATCGTCTGCCTAGTCAAAAAGCTTTTAAGGGAAGAGTTCCATCGTCTGTCTAGTCAAAAAGCTTACAACTCAGACAACTTTGTAAGGACGCCAATTGTCGCGGGAATTGAGCCAGTCATCTCGTTTCCCCATAATGCTCTGTAGATTGTACGCACCACAGGGAAGTCAAAAGAAGGGTACCGGTAAGCACAGAGGGTTTCTTTTTTAGCATGAGTCTAGAAAAATATCAAGAGCCCATAGAAAGCTCATGGCAGTAGTACCTCCCAGACAGGGAGTCTGACGCGTTTTCGAGGGGTTGAAAACGCGTAGACCAGTATTCTGTCACCAGACAAGGCAATGCGTGTTGAGCCGTCTCACAAACAAGTCATGCGCTTCTCAGAACTCTGTCACCGCTCACCTTCTTGCATCCGTCCAACTTCTTACATGGAGTATCTCCATGGCTCCATTCTGCGTACATGTTTTGCACTTCACATCTCGTTCAACTCTTTAGCTTCCATATTTCGCAATTCCTTTTGTTAGAACAGCAAGCACTTACAAGGTCTCAAGATTTGTGAGCTTGGTGATTGAGTCAGGAATGGAGTTTCTAAAGACGTTGTAGCCAAGGTTCCTGATGTTGGAGGTGTTGATGATGGAAGAACAGCAGAGGGTGCGCAATTTGTGAGAACAATAAAGCCTCGTGCTGTTTTGGCCATTATGGTGAGAGAAAGCATTTCAACAGTACCCCATTTTGGGGGCTCCTCAAGCCTCATGCTGTTTAGGGCCTCGAGGTGCTTAGGGCATTATGGTGAGTGGATGCATTTCAACATTTCCCCTATTAAAAAAGTGAGGGAAATTCTGCATTGCTTGGAGTCGCTTCTAAAGTCGTTCGGAGGAAACCAGTATTTCTGGCGCAAAACTTTCTGACACAAACTGACAGTAGATAATCCACAGTTAACAAATCCTTATGCATACGCACCATCAAAGGTTATCATTCTTGCCCTCCCCTCCTGCACAGTCACAGGAATATATGGTCCGACTTTTTGTTTCCCCGTCTGAGGAGTGGAAACCCCAAAGCTACTAACCTTCTTAACAGCGATGTGAGCAAACCAGTGAATCACGTGTAAGAGAAACACACGAAACTAATTTGCTTGCTTGAAGCTTGTTGTGGGTGGGTGGTGGAACGGTCAAGCAAGGGTTCACACAGGAGGACTCCATACAGGGGGAGTCCATACAGGAGGGCTCCATACAGGATCCACATTCTTTTGAGAAATTGAAACTTACAGCACTGACAACGCTTGAAGGTTGCCTATACTTGTGGAGATTGAACCAACTAGGTTGTTCCCTGGAAGATATCTGAATGTATAGAAGGGATGGAGGGAGGGAGGGAGGGAGCGAGGGAGGGAGGGAGGGAGGGAGGGAGGGAGGGAGGGAGGGAGGGAGGGAGGGAGGGAGGGAGGGAGGGAGGGAGGGAGGGAGGGAGGGAGGGAGGGAGGGAGGGAGGGAGGGAGGGAGGGAGGGAGGGGGGGGAGGGAGGGAGGGAGGGAGGGAGGGAGGGAGGGAGGGAGGGAGGGAGGGAGGGAGGGAGGGGGGGAGGGAGGGAGGGAGGGACGGAGGGACGGAGGGAGGGAGGGAGGGAGGGAGGGAGGGAGGGAGGGAGGGAGAGTGAAGGGTGTTTAGAAGGAAGAGAAAGGGTTAGATTTGTGTTTTTGTGAGCCTGATAATGGAACTTCGGTGATGAATGATATAATGAATGAGCATGCAGCATGGATATCATACGTGCAAGGTGGGAGGAGGTATGGCAGTGCACATTCCAGCAACATTCATCATATCACCCGTTTTCTTCCACACTCCACCCAGTTTTTAGAACATGAGCGTGCATTTGCAGAGCAGAGCACATAACCCTTGGCTGAACTGCAAATCTCAAATCAAAGCGTGCAGGTGCAGAGGTCCATGCTGAGGGGTACAGAACAACTTACAGTACCTGACTGTTGCCCTCAGCCTGCAGAGGTCCATGCCGAGGTGAAGTTGGTGGTTGGCAAAATGCACAAGTGCCGCTGGTTACAGAACAACTTATTCAACTGGGAAGCAATGAGAAACAGCACTCACAATGTGTTGAGATTTGTGAGATTGAAAATCGATTCAGGAATACTGCCACTCAATTTGTTGGAGCTGAGGAATCTGCATTTGTGTGCCTTGGAACTGACTTATGAGTGGACTGAAAAGTCCGCAGTGCAGCAAGAAGCTTCACATGTGCAACAGGCAACAATGCAGCTGGTAGGAACCAGATAATGCTGTGCATTCGCGTGCCTTTGCATGCATATGCGTGTACATGTGCTAGTCCGTGTGTGCGTGCATGCATGCATGTGTGCATGCTTGTGTGTGTGTGTGTGTGGAGGGGGAAGGGAAGGGGAGGGGGGCGGGGGGTGTGCGAGCGTGGATGGATTGTGGGTTGAGAGTAAAAGGGTAGGTTACCCTGTTTGGTTAAAGTCAAGAGGCTCACAACAAGACAAGAGGCTCACAACAAGTGAAGAGGCTCACAACAAGACAGGCTCACAACAAGACAAGAGGCTCACAATAGGTGAAGGGGCTTACAGGTCTCCCAGATTCAGAAGGTTGCCTAAAGTGGCTGGTATCGTGCCTGTCAGTAAGTTATAATGTAGGTATCTGGGTTGCATGAGAGCAGGGGTGAAGAGGCACAGGCAGGACGGAAGATTGGAACACAGAGCAGAGTTGATCACAGAGAAGCACGTGTACAGCATTACAAAAAACGCACCATAAGACTTCACAATCACCTCACATAGCTAAGGTTCTAGCAAACATACATACTTTGTGAATGTACAAATCTTAGTGGGAGGTCTTTGGCTGGATTAGCGCGGCATGGTGAAGTGAATGCGTGCAGAGGCTTAGCTGGATTCTGGATATAAACCACAACCACAGTGGTGTCGATTCAAGAATGGTGTTTTTTTAGGCGCCTCCAACTGCATTGGGGTGACCTTGGAGGCGCCTCAAAAACGACCACAACCACATCGCTATCGAGGCAAGAATAAGCATGTGGTGACCCGATTGATGCGGTGTGGCTTGCATGCCGAATCATACAACAGCAGCACTCACCCGACCGACACGAAGGCAGAGGCCATGGGGCCTCACCGCATGGGGCCATGGCCGGGAGGGGATGTGAACCCAATGAAAAGCAGCAGCACTCACAGGCGATGAAGGATGCTGAGGTTGGCCAAGGGATGCAGGAATGGTGCCGCTGTTGAGTGTTCGCGGAGTCACTTCTGAGAATTATAAAATGAGAACTCCCAAACGAGACTCCAATAACGCACGCAGCAGCTCTTACAGGCGATCAAGGATGGTGAGGTCGCCAAGGGAGGCAGGGATGGTGCCGGTCAAGCGGTTGTAGCCAAGGTTCCTGACATTGGATGGGAGATGGTGACGGGAAAACGTTTTCTACGGATGCAGGGATGCATGAATATAGGGAAGGATGGATGGTGGCCGTCAAGCGGTTGTAGCCAAGGCTTCTATTATTGGATGGGGGATGTTGATGGGGAAACATTTTCTAAAGATGCAGGGATGCAGGAATTAAGGAATGGATGGTGGGCGTCAAGCGTTTGTGGTCAAAGTTTCTGATACTGTTTGGTTGGAGTCATGACAACAACGGACTTGGTCTGATCTTTATAGGAGATGTCATAGAATGGAGAGATAGGGAAATCTTGGGCCTATGAAATTATGTAAGAATCCATCAAGCTCGCTTCTATCCTAATCAATTGACTTACAGGTTGGTCAAATACACAAGGTCTGTTAAAAATGCTGGAATGGACCCCGTCAGCTTGTTTTGAAGCAGCGACATGCATCTCGGAATCAGGTTAGGGTGAAAAACGGAAAAGGAGGGCCACACAGAGGTATGTGACAATAGGGAAATCTTCCCGCCAATGCAACAGTGACAAGCGATGAGCAAAGGAACAGGGAGGACTAACTGCAGAGCTCAGATATCCAGAAATTGTCATGCCATTTGCATCTAGGTGCCTCATACGACTCAGTCAGTGTTATGAGCAAATTAGCTTGATGTGCGCTCACTGACATGCCATGCCATATGCACTCGCCTCATGTCATGTGTGCTCTCGCCCTATGCTATAAGCACTCGCCCCATGCCATTTACCCTCGCCCCATCGGTGCCATGCCATGTGCGCTAGGTGCCATGTCACGTGCACTCGGTGCCATGTCATGTGCACTCGGTGCCATGTCATGTGCGCTCGGTGCCATGTCATGTGCGCTCGGTGCCATGTCACGTGCGCTCGGTGCCATGTCATATGCGCTCGGTGCCATGTCACGTGCGCTCGGTGCCATGTCATGTGCGCTCGGTGCCATGTCATGTGCGCTCAGTGCCATGTCATGTGCGCTCAGTGCCATGTCATGTGCGCTCGGTGCCATGTCATGTGTGCTCGGTGCCATGCGGGGAGTGGCTGAGGATCACATGTTAACTGACTGAGGAACGGCACTAACAAGATTTCAAGTTTCTTTACATTGCCGATAGATGCCAGAATGGTGCCCTCAAACTTGTTGTAACCGAGTTGCCTGACGTGGACAGAGGGGACACACATAGGGCAAATACACCGGAATAGCATTGAAGCAAGGCAACAAATACGAAGTGAATCATTCTACATGTGGTTTTAACCGGAGCACATGTGTCTTGCGACATCACTGTAAAACACAGAGCAGCCAACTCAGAAAGCCAGCTCGTGGCCTTTATTGTATTATAATATGCTGTGACGTTTGAGGCGTCTTGGAAGTGGCCTGTATTGTACAGTGCACCATAACGTGCTCTGGACAGGCGAGCCCGAGTCCAACTTGCTGGCTAGCAAGCCCAAGTCCAACTTGCTGGCTTGCAAGCCAAAAAACTTTTGCCTCGTTTGGCAAGGCTCGTCCAGGGTTTGGCCTTGATCATGCCGAGCGAGCATGGGTGCATGCACTATATAATGTTGAGATAATAGGCAAAAAGAGAGGGCTGAACTAGCAAGAATGGGGATACAAATAGCAAACCCTAGAAGGGCTGTACTCGCTATAGAGCACCCCACTGCAGGCTAGAGCATAATATTCTGACACACCCCCATAGCCAAAGTGGGGTGTAATCAGCACAGCAAGCAAAGCAGTACAAGCTCAGGGTGGATCACGATGTCACCACACATTCTGAGCACATGAACAAGAAGCAAAAGTTTAAAGTTCACAATTATGGGTAAAGCTAAAGCTGTCACAGAGGGCAAGCGAGGAGGAGGAGGGCTGGTGAGATGAGAGAAGAGTGGAGGCGACGACTGAAGCTGCAGACACTCGGGCAACAGACGGCTCTGGTGCAACGCTGGTGGCTACCGGGAGGAGAAAGGCCCCGGAATACAGGAGTAACAGGCTCTGCAACTGATCAGCCAGCGACAGTAGCAACGGACCCACGGGCGACAGGTGCAACCGGCTCTCTGAGCTACCGGGAGGAGAAAGGCCCCGGAATACAGGTGCTGCGGACGACACGACGGCAACCTCCGCTCAACCTCCTCCAACTGCCCCACACACCCCCCACACACCCACTGCTGAAACCCTAGCTCCATTCCCACGGCACCCCCCTTAAACCCTAAACCCTCGGCTCCCACACACCACCCCCCTCAGCGGCAGCTGCAGTAGAGGGAGACTAGGGAGGAGGAGGAGTAGGGGGAGGAACTCACAACCGACACCCCCATAGCCGCCACCCCCACACTCCTCACCCCCAAACCCTAACACAGGCGAAAGGGGAAAGGAGCACGGGGGACGACGAGGGGGAGGGCGCGCGGCCACCAGGGCGCCACCACCAGGCAGCGAGGGGCCGTGCGCGGCTCCCCAAAGCGCCGCGACGGGAGATCGGGGCCGCGGGGGGTCGCGCGCGGCTCCCCAGGGCGGCGCGACGGGAAATCGGGGCCGCGGGGGGTCGCGCGCGGCTCCCCAGGGCGGCGCGACGGGAGATCGGGGCCGCGGGGGGGTCGCGCGCGGCTCCCCAGGGCGGCGCGACGGGAGATCGGGGCCGCGGGGGGTCGCGCACGGCTCCCCAGGGCGGCGCGACGGGAAATCGGGGCCGCGGGGGGGTCGCGCGCGGCTCCCCAGGGCGGCGCGACAAGAAATCGGGGGCGCGCGGGGGTCCCCCACGGTAGGAAACCGCCGCGCGCCTCGGGGCGCACGGCGGGCAGAAAACCGCCGCACGCCCCGAGCGCGCGGCGGGATGAAAAATCCGTCGCACGCCACGGGGCGTGCGACACAGACTATAGTTGTAGCAGCGGAAGACTTAGGTGGCGGGCCCACCCACAGGATCGACCCAACAGGATCGTCCTGCTCTGATAGCAAGAATGGGGATACAAATAGCAAACCCTAGAAGGGCTGTACTCGCTATAGAGCACCCCACTGCAGGCTAGAGCATAATATTCTGACATATAAGTCCAACTCGAGGCATACGATGAGACGTGCACACACTATGGTGCAGCCTTGCATAGCCAGCTTGCTACTCGCCTTCCTTCTCTCCCTCACGTCTAGCGAGCATGCGTGCACGGTGCACTATACTCGCCCCACAGCCCACCTGTCCATTGTTGACAAGCCGTACTCGAGGCATACACTAAGAAGTACACTTGTTGTGCAGCCTTGCCTAGCTAGCTTGCCCCTCTCCTTTCCTTCCTTTCATCCATTCCCCGAGCTCGTTCACTTGGCCTGGCTTGTGTAAGTGACAATCAGCGTATACTAAGCGTACTAGCTCAACGAGCGCAGTCCTCCTGGCTCAGCCATCTGTTACAGTTGCCCGTCTGTTACAATTGCCCATCTGTTACAGTTGCCCATCTACTAGAGGTGCCCGAAACCCAAAAACCCATCTGTTTGAGAGACTCACAAGTCGACCAGGCTTGGAATGCTGCCAATGATTGTTGGTATGGAGCCAGTCAGGTTCCCATTCCATACAATTCTGCATTTTGGAAAAGCAGGGAACGTTCAAGAGGGAATCACATAACTAATTTGCATAGTGAACAGTTACATGAATTAGAACGGTTTTCTGTTCTGTACAAAGATAAGACGAGGTCACGAGGTGCTAACAGGTGATACAATAGAAGAGAAGAGAAGACACTCAAAGCATACAAATACAAGAGCTAAAAATGCACCCAACCAACCTGAGATGGCCAATCTCGTACACAGAGATTTTTGGACAGGAGTCTTTGTCAAACGAGTTCTTGTAACAAATATTTCTACCTTCATTTGACAACGCAATTTGGTAAAAACACAAGTGCTCAGGTTTGGAATAAAAATGAGTGTTGCTGGGTGCAAAACAGAGGTGCCATAGCAAACTGATGCAGTTTCTTCGGAGTGAATATTCTAAAAATAGGCGTGAGCAGGGGGCCGAGCCGAACCGAACAGAAAAAGGTTGGAGAGTTCTGCCAAATGTGCAGCTTCTTCCTCAAAAGGCTTAGCTCCTTCCTCAAAAGGCGTTAAGTTCTGCCTTGTCTCCTTGTGAGCAAGCACAGGTCCACCCAAGGAGAAGCAGCGCTCGCTCACAAGGCGACAAGGTCCGTCTTTGGCGGCGCCTCAACAACAGACAGGCACTCAAGATGCAGCTCTACCAAGGAGACAAGGCTTACTTCTGGGGCGCCTCTAAAACAGACGGCACTGAAGGAGAGAAAAGTAGAGCATTCACAAGGCTACAAGCCTGCCTCTTGAGGCGCATCAGGTGAAAATCCAGCTTAGCTGATGAGGGTACCACTCACAAGTAGGTAAGGCAAGGCTCTGGAGGTGGAGGTTGCTGATGGAGTCTGGGATTTATAGGCACCTCAAAAATTGACAAGCCTGCCCTTTGAAGGTCAACGGGATAAGGCAGGCTTGCCCTTGCAGGGTAGCATCACTCTCAAGTGCGCAAGGCTATGGAGGTTGCTGATAGAGTCTGAAATAGATTTGTTTAAGTTCACATCACATCAGACAGGCTTCTGATGAGTGGAGAATGGAATGGAGGCAAGGGCAGTTGCAAGAGAAATTTGAGACGTCTCAAAAGCTAGCTGAGCTGGGGGTACCACTCACAAGTGGGCAAGGCTCTGGAGGTTGCTGATGGAGTCGGGGATTGAGCCATTTAAGTTCACATCAGAAAGACTTCTGATGAGTGGAGATTGGAATGGAAAGGGGGCGGTACATGCAACAGTAGTGGAGAGAGAATGTTGCATACATGCTTGTGGCATAATCATGCAAGTTGGTTTTTGAGAATTCTCAGAAATGTTGCATACATGCTTGTGGCGTAATCATGCAAGTTGGTTTTTGAGAATTCTCAGAAATGTTGCATACATGCTTGTGGCGTAATCATGCAAGTTGGTTTTTGAGAATTCTCAGAAATGTTGCATACATGCTTGTGGCGTAATCATGCAAGCGTATGGCATGAATCTGCTGTGAGCAACGTGACGGACAGAGCAAGGTATGGCTGGCAGACAGGAGCAACAAGTAGACCGTGGGTCGCGCCCGTGCAATGTCATGTCACGCTGTGCCATGCCATGTCATGCCGTGCCATGTCATGCCATGTCCTGCCATGCCGTACCATGCCATGCCATGCCCTGTCGTGTCGTGTAATGCCGAACCCTGCCTTGCCATGCCAGCTGTGCGGGGCCGTGGCGTGCCGCCGTGCCGTGCCCGTGACATGCCATGCCTGCCATGCCATGCCACCATGCCATGCCATGCCACCATGCCATGCCACTATACATGGGCACCGAGGTGAGTTTTTCGCCTCGGCTCGTACGAGGCACTCGTTCGAGGGCGAGTGACGAGTGTGCTTTTCCCTAAAAATAACTCGTCCGAGCCGAGGCGAGTTTAACTCGGCGAGTTTTTAAAACTCCCCGAGCACTCGTTGCGCTGACGAGCTTTTAGAAAAGCTCGTGCATATATATGACAACAAGCCGAGCTTCCCTCGGCTCGACCGAGCTTTCCTTGAAGCTCGGACGAGCTTTTGAAAAGCTCGTCCTATTTAGCCGAGTCACGAGCTTGCATTTGCCCGGAAAAAGCTCGTACGAGAAAAACTCGGCTCGGAAAAAAGCTCGTACGAGTGTGCCTGGGGACGAGCCGAGTAAAACTCGGCTCGGCTCGATGCCCATGTATACATGCCACCATGCCATGCTATACCGTGCCACCCACGTGGTGGCGTGCCGTACCATGCTATGCTGTGCTTTTCAGGACCTAAGAAAGGAAAGTAAGGATGGATGGAGGGTCAAAGAGAACCAAGGTAGGAGGAACCGTGGCCCGTGACATGGCATGACATCAGAATCCTGCCCTGGGCCCACTCCCATGCCCTTACCATCTCCCTCAGGGAGGTCCATTTGCATGTAAGTAACGCATCAGGGTGTCCTCTCCTCACGAGCCACATCTCCGTTCTCATGCCCTTGGAGTTGCACTTGAGGCCGCTCGCATTG